ATAGATAGATAGATAGATAGATAGATAGATAGATAGATAGATAGATAATCAGAGCTCTCCTTAGTTACACATGTCTCTTTTCCCGTCAGCACTCTCTCCCTCTCATGTTACGACTACAGGTTCTGCACAAACAATGGAGGTTCTCAGACACAGTGAGTCAGAAGCCTGTTCATAGAAAATGCCAACAGGGTGCAAAAAGTCTGTCTACAGAGACAAAAATAAAACAACCACCTCCTAACAACATTATCACTTGGAATCTCCTTCATGGCCTGGTGCTGTCCCGTCATTGAAAGTAGGTCGTATTCTGTGTGCTCTGCAGTATAACTAGGACAGCGGGTTTCCTAGATCTCTTTAATCCTTTCAAAAGACAAACATCCTACCGTAGCTAGATTGGGGCTCTGTGTGCGGCAGACAACTGCTGCCAACCACACCCAGCACTCACAGCCATGTCTAAAACTATTAGCGTGGGATCTTGTTTGCTTTGTGTCTTGCCATCTCACTGACAGCTACAGAGAGGGCTTCACATACTGGAGGTGAACAGAGGGCTGACTTCATCCTTTTGGTTTGTCAGAGTCATCCACAGGCTTCCACCCACCCTCCTACCTTCCTCTTGCCACAGCAGCAGTGACTGGACGATCCCAGAAAAGATTTCAGTCAGGTTTTGACAAGCTGGAAAGTATTCAGATGGGATGAAAGCTGAACTGATGAGATCACGGTGGCTAATTGAATGTCTTTGATGGTTGCACAGCAAACCACAAGAAAGGCTTACTGTACTTCAACAGATGAATCTCATATGTATTCCTTCAGAGAGATATAGTGTGTGTAGGAATCACTGACAAGAACATTTGAGGCTTAACCATATGACCATGCCATGATATCCAACACTGTCAACTTTTCACCTAGAATAATCAACAATCAGAGCTAATCTTTGTAAAGTTCAGAGAGTACCAACCAATAGGAAGACAGAAAATACATGATGTACTCACATATGGACTTACACAGAGGGAGAAGTCCTGTCCCTATCAACTCTGGAGGTTCAAAGTATAGGATGTCAGCCACTTTTCAGAGTTTCAATCGCCTGAAGTCATCTAAAAGTCACACACCAAAGTGTGTGTCTGTGTGTGTGTGTGTCAGTGCTGTATGATAGCATGTTTTTTAGCTCCTTGCAGGCCGGAGAGTTAAAAAGGGTTTTCATCTGCTCAATAAAGCACTGTATGAAACAGGAGACGATGACTAGTGTCCCACCTAGCTGTCACTGTGAGAGCCAGACATTCAAGAGAATGACAGGGGTTTCAAATGCCAAGACAAGTTAAGTAAACACACACAACAGTCACAACATGCCCACACACACACACACACACACACACACACACACACACACACACACGTGTGTGCGTATGCATTCTTGCAGAGACACACACACGACACTGACACAACCAGACTTAATGTTTCGACCTCTCCACATAAAGAGAGACCACAGACTTCCTGCCTATATTATGCTCTCCATCCATCAGATGCTGTTGTCAACAATATGCAGGCCTGTTCCAGGGACTTAGAATGATTAAGTTTAATGTTTAATAAACTTCAAATTATAATGAAAGAAAATAAGGAATCCACTAATGAGCTTTCATCTAACAAAAGGGAATAAAAACATCGGAGGAAAACAACTATTCTGATAAGACAGAGGTTTCCACTTTCCACACAGATGATAAGGAAAGAGTTTGATCCTCTTGCAGCCATGAAAGCATTAGACAACTGCACTGCCTTGGACCTCCCACACAAACAGACAGTCAAGGACAGAGCAGAGCAGGAATGTGACACAGGATTCCATCAAACCCTTAAGAAGGAATGTGGGAAACTCTTCACCAGCCACAGTTAAAACGCCATCAAGAACACAAAAAGGCTTGTCTGTCACTTAATAATATCAGGTTAATTCAAATTTGAATACAGGCTAAGAAAGAGATGGTGTGTATTCTCCTCTTTGCAAATATGGCAGAAGAACAACTTCCTCACTTAATGCTTAATGGAAATGGAGCTGTGGAATTTAGTCCTTTTTCCGCCTGACAGAAGTAGCTGCAGCCTGCTGGGAGCATTGTCATCCCAAAGAAGAGAGGAGTTTGTGAATTACAAAATTCTGGTGGCTCTCTGCCAAATCCCTCTGACAAATGCTTCAAAAGTCCCATGCCGACAAGTTGGTGTGAATAGCAGTTCTTCTTGGCAGTGCATTCCCTCCACCCCTGGCCTTGATAATATCAAAGAAAGCTCTCTTCTCTCCCCAGAGACGAAGTAGTCTCCATTCATTTCTCCAGCTCTGGAACAAAAACAGACCTGCTGCCCACCTCTCTATTTGACTCTGCTGATTACTACGACCCATATGTGCCTGTATGCGTGTATGCTGTTTCCTTCATTTAAACAGTGTGTCCGCATAGCAGGACAGATTGAATGCAGACAGTTTCCTTGTAATCTGAAAGCTGCATATCAGTGATAGGCCACTTCAAAGAGCAGACGGTTTGATTTAAAAGGCTTGCAGAAACGGGCTCCCCCCAGCGGAGGCCATGAGCAAATCCTCTGCAATCTAAACAAATACAAAAGCCAGGGCATGGGGCGGTCGACGTGGGGGAACATTGACAGCTGCGCCCAGCTGCACTGTGTTTGGGGTTAGGGTCTGCGACAGAGGAGAGGGCAGAGACTAACTAACAGGGAGGAAGAGCTGAACAAGGGACTGCAGAGGAGGAGGGACGGGGATGAGTTACTGCCTGGCTCCGTCTGCTCATTCTGACCATTTGTCCGTCATCCTTTTTCTGTTGCTCTCCCCCATCACACGCTCACACACAGAGAACCAGCTGGAGTCCTTTGTGATAGTGTCACCATGGCAATACACAGCAACAAGAGGTTTGCCAGAAAACCCTGCACTACCAGCAACAAGTACAGAGATTCTAGTGGTCATTTGTTTAATGTAACAGGGTAAACTGACACACACCTAAACAGCAACCAGCTGGAAAAAAAGCAGGAGGGATGAGTAACAGTTAGCCCAACTTCAGAACCAAACTAGTAGCAGTATAACAGCACAGAGCTGTAAATTCATCTTCCATTATGTTTTGAGCCCTGAAGCGTTTGCTTTGTGCAGCTAATCGCAGAACTCTACCAACCAGTTTATCTTGGAGTCCTGTCAAAAAAACATCTTCCCACTTCTTGCTGTGTTTTTGAGGGAGTGTCGTGGAAGACAAAAAGTTCAAACGTTCACTTTGTGACATTACAACATCTTTGTGAACAACATAACACCATATAACAAGCTCTGCTCGACTCAATGTCGCCTCCAGTGGGTGACTATAAGGTACAGTTAATACGGAAAAGGATACACAAAAAGCTTAGAGTTTTAACAAACAATTTGCCATGGCAAGCTTGTAGCCCATCACAATTTATAAGTAATTATCAAAGCTACTGCAGTCCATAAACCCAACACAAAATATACAATGTTCTATTAAAAGCCTTCTGAAGGCGCTTTGAGCCACCTGAAAGTCTCTCTAAAACCTTCATGTCTGTCTATGACTCTCAGCCACCAGAGGCCAGAGGTCACCTGAGAGGGTTTCTGCTCTCCAGATGCCTCAGCTCTCAGACACAATAGCTCACTGTGTGCGCCTGTGTGTATGTGAGAGCAGGAGGGGAAGGTGGCAGTCTGAGAGTGCCTTTTAAAGGGGTATATTTAGCATGTGTGAGTGTCTGTAAGGGAGGAAGTTTCCAGTGCAAATACTACCAGAGTTGTAAACATCCTGTGCTAACTTCTACATTTAAAATCAATTTCTCTTCCCTCTCTTCTTGAAAGAAATTTAAACATGCATATCAGCATTAAACACTGGTTTAGCATGCCTGCAGTGTCCACCAAACACCAGCGCTATCAGCAAAGCTGTGTGCTTAGGGTGCCCCTTCTGACAGTAACCTGTGTCAACAGCATGTAACTGCCCTGCCAGGCTTGTGTCTCCTCAATCAGTAGATAAGAGTATGTTTACAACTGTCAGCCACCAGTAAATCTGGCAGACAGCTGCCTTCTGTTAAGCAATAGGTTCAGTTCACCTAACCCACTTTCCTATGAACCAAGTTCAATTCGAGTCTGCTGACCTGTATTCCTCTTTTAAGGCTTGAAAGATCTAAAATTTTGAAAGCTATAAATGTGGGCAAATATACAGATGATTTTTTATAAATAATTACATTAATCAATACCCTCAAAATAACTTACATT